GGGGGGGGGGTCAACAGTGGGAGGGCTTCTAATGTCCTGGCCCCACTGCTGGACCTCCTGAGGGCCCCTGGTATTTCTGGCCACTGTGTGACACAGAGTGTTGGACTGGATGGGCCATTGGCCTGATCCAACATTGGCATCTCTTATGTTCTTATGTAAATCAGTGGAGTAAATAAAGATCTTGGGCCCCCTGGTACATGTCGGAAGAGGACAGATGGATTATTAGACAGGGCTTTCCTGGGTGCACTTAGAAACCAAGGACAGTATCTGGCAGGAATAATATTTGCCAGAGCTCGGCCACTGGAGGCATCAATTTCCCACCTGTCTGCATATTTACGTGATCTGAATCCATTGCAGGAATAGAATCCTAGAGGAGAAGAAGAGAATGGATTTATACCCCGCCCTTCACTCAGGAATCTCAGGGCGGCTTACAAACTCCTTTCCCTTCCCCTCCCCACAACAGACACCCTGTGAGATAGGTGGGGCTGAGAAAGCTCTGAGAGAACTCCTCTTTCCAGAACAGCTCTGAGAGAACTGTGACTGACCCAAGGTCACACCAGCAGCTGCATGTGAAGGAGTGGGGAATCAAACCCGGTTCTCCCAGATTAGAGTCCACACTCCTAACCACTACAGTGCGCGGACTCTGATCTGGGAGAACCGGGTTTGATTCCCCACTCCTTCACTCGTACCTGGCTGGATGACCTTGGGCAAGACCTAGTTCTGACAAGAGCTGTCCTTGAAAAAGAGCTGTTTCTGTCAAGAGCTCTCTCAGCTCCGCCTACCTCACAAGGGTGTCTGTTGTGGGGAGGGGAAGGGAAAGGAGTTTGTGAGCCACTCTGAGACTCCTTTGGGTAGTGAAGGGCGGGGTATAAATCCATTCTCTTCTTCTTCTATATCAAACTGGAAGGGACCTCCGGGGTCATCTAATCCAACCCCCTGCACAAGGCAGGAAGTTCACAAATACCTCTACCCCCCCACACCCCCAGTAACCCCTGTTCCATGCCCAGAAGAGGGCAAAAAACCCCTCAAGGATCTCCGGCCAAACCGGCCTGGAGAACAATTGCTTCCTGACCCCAACGTGGCGATCAGCATTTCCCTGGGCATTTAAGAAAGGGGCCACGAGAACTAAGCACCGAGGCAACCCTTCCTGCCCTCCCTCTCGTGATCTGACGAAGTTCACAGGATCAGCACTAAACACCCAGAAACTGAGAGACCGCAAACCACACGGCAAACAAAAGGAAAGACAGGGAGACCAGACCGAGAATGCTAAAGAGGTCAACATTTCATTTAAAAACATCACTATATGAACGGTGCTGTCACTGGTGGTGGGGAGATGCTCTCCGACTGGAAGGAAGAAGTCTCAGATCCCGCAGGGCGAGAGGCAGCAGGCCGGCTCCGAGGAACTCAGCCAGTCGGCGGTGAGCTCTGCCCGCTAAAGAGACCAATGTCCTGGGGTGATCTGTGGAATGTGGACAGCCAGGCCACAGCCGTCCTCGCTACACAGAGCCGGCAACACCCAATTTGCCCCAGGTGTGAAACGGTGGCTGCCAGTCTCTCAAGGTCGCCTTTCACTATACAAAGGAGTCTCAGAGTGGCTTACAAACTCCTTTCCCTTCTCCTTCCCACAACAGGCACCCTGTGAGGAAGGTGGGGCTGAGAGAGCTCTTTCGAGGACTGCTCCTGAGAGAACAGCTCTGAGAGAACTTGTGACGGACCCAAGGTCACGCCAGCAGCTGCCTGTGGAAGAGGAGTGGGGAATCAAACCCGGTTCTCCCAGATTAGAATCTGCACTTCTTAGCACTATAACAAACAGGTCCTCTCCTTCCTTACAATCGCCTTTCCCTTCCCTTCCCCACAACAGACACCCTCTGAGGTAGGTGGGGCTGAGAGAGCTCTTTCGAGGACTGCTCCTGAGAGAACAGCTCTGAGAGAACTTGTGACGGACCCAAGGTCACGCCAGCAGCTGCCTGTGGAAGAGGAGTGGGGAATCAAACCCGGTTCTCCCAGATTAGAGTCCGCGCTCCTCACCACGACACCAAACTGGCTGTCGCCATTCGTTTATTAATTTTTGTTTAGTGAAACGTTTATACCCCGTCTTTTCCTTGTGGTTCAAGGGAGCTTACAATTATAGCGAACACTTTCAGTTGCATTCAGTTCTGTCGGGTCACTTACAACTTATGGAGACCCGATTAATTAATGACCTCCAAACGTCCTGTCGTTAACAGGCTTGCTCGGGTCTTGTGAGCTAGCAAGCCCCAAACCTTTCCTCCGGCCTTGCTTAAAAGATGGCGCCAATTTGGCACAGTAAGCATTAGATCCCAGGGTCTCCCAGGTCTGAGTCTGACCACTATACCTCACTGCCGCCTGTTTATTCCACTGGAGTGGAGGGAGGCAGGGGAGATGGTCTTTGAGGAAGCTGCGGGTACAAGGGGGGAAGTCCAACAGCAGTCCAGGGTCCTGACCAGTGTTCCCTCTAAGCTGGGTTAGTGTGAGCTAGCTCACAGTTCTTGAGCATCTGGCTCACACATTTTTTGGTCTTAGGGAAGGAGGGCTCCAGAGCAGACTAATTTATGCCGTAGCCAAATCGCTCGCTCACGACTGTAATGCCGGTAGCTCTGCCCCAGGGGCCCGTGCAGCTTACCAATCACCTCCAGGGCCTGCTTCGTGTGCTTTGCGTACAGGCCATTGATTTGTTTCTTCAGCTTCAAGATTTCCTCCGCCTGGATCGCAATATCTGTCGCCTGGCCCTGGAAGGGGAAGCAGAGAGGCAGATGGAAATTGATTTACTTCTTTATTTAGAAGAACAAGAGAAGAAGAGACTGGATTCAGACCCCGCCCTTCACTACCCGAAGGAGTCTCAGAGCGGCTTACAATCTCCTTTCCCTTCCCCTCCCCACAACAGACACCCTGTGAGGTAGGCAGGGCTGAGAGAGCTCTTTTTCAAGGACAGCTCTGAGAGAACTATGGCTTGCCCAAGGTCATCCAGCAGGTGCAAGTGGAGGAGTGGGGAATCAAACCCGGTTCTCCCAGATTAGAGTCCGCGCACTTCACCACGACACCAAACTGGCTCAGTTTACTCCATCGATGCCCCGCTTGTCTCTCAAATGGGAGCTCAAAGCAGCTTACAACATTATCCTCTCCTCACAACCACCCTGTAAAGTAGGCTACACTGAGTCTCCATGTGACTGGCCCAAGGTTAACTCAGCAAGGAATTCGAACCTGGTCTCCCAGTACCCAGTCCAGGGGTTTCCAATCTTTCTGAGTCTGCAGGCACCTTTGGAATCCTGACACAGGGTGGTTGGCACAACCACAAAATGGCTGCCATTTGAGGCGGAGCTACACACACGGAGGAAGCCCCAATGCAGGGGACAAGAGGAGTCACTTTGAGTTAATTTTAAATCTCTGCATGTTTTTAAGTATGTTGGCGCCGGCTATGCAGGGGAGGGAGGGGGAGAAACCAAACGAAATAAATAAATAAATAACATAAATATTGGGGACACTCTGGAGTGGACTCTTTTCTGGGGGAACACGCTGGAACGACATTCCTGAACCTCTTCGACAAAATTCTTTTAAAACCATTTTAAAAGTTCGTGAGATTTCAGTACGCAGACTGAAAACTTCATTTCCCTCTTGAGATAGATCCACGCGGTCCGATGTCTTGGCCTGGAGGAGTAGAACAGATTTAAGAGTCCAGTAGTAGCACCTTTAAGACCAACAGAGGTTTGATTCAAGGCATGAGCTTTCGTGGGCGCGCACGCTTTGTCAAATACACTGGAATGTGTTTGAGAATCCAATGCACACGAAAGCTCGTACCTTGAATCAAACTTTGTTGGTCTTAAAGGTGCCTAACTGGACTTTTCCTGCAAACTTAGCAGTTCGAAAGCAAGAAATTGCAAGTAGATAGATAGGGACAACTTCAGAGGGAAGGTAACAGCGTTTCCGTGCATCTTGGTGTTTAGTCATGCCGGCCACATGACCACGGAAACGTCTTCGGACAGCGCTGGCTCTTCGGCTTTGAAACGAAGATGAGCACCGCAACCCTAGAGTCGACTGGCTTTCGAGCAAAGGGAACCTTTACCTTTAACTGGACTTTACATTTTCCATCTTGAGAGTTCCGGCAACTCTTAAAAAAAAAAAAAAGCCCTGGAGACCAGTGCTCCCTCCAAGCTGAGTTTGTGTGAGCTGGGCCCCAGTCACATGGAGATTTTGCTGTGCGAAAGGCACGAATGTCGGGCGGATTTTTGGGGGCGCGATCACACCACAACATCTGGGAAGCGTTGTGCACCCGTGGCCAACCCGTGGCGTCCCGCCAAAGACCCGGAGTTAAAAAGTACCTTGGAAAGTGCACTAGTATTCGGAAAACGCGCGACACAGGGACGGGCGTCTGATCGCGGGAGCGCCGGTATCCCGTGGCATCCGGCACCCGTCCATGTCCCGTCGCAAACCGGATGTTTTTCGTAAGCGCATGCGCACAAACACGAAACTGAAAGCAGTGCTGCTCCGTGGAACTGCGCATGCGCACAAACGCAAAACGCTTGTGTGACTGCGCTGCTCCGCTTCTTTGCCACGCTGCAGCATCGCCGTGTGATCGCCAGCTAACAGCCTAGGCACGGAGACTCAGGGGACTGTGTGATCGGGCCACCGCGCTTTATTTTGCTCTGGGGCGGACAGCCGTGCCTCCCCCCTGTGTTATCTGGCCCGTGTGATCGGGGCCCTAGCTCAGTTTTTTAGCCTCCGGCTCAAAAGTTTCTGTCTCAGCTCAGGAACAAGGATGGCTCCAGAGTAAACTAATTGATGCGGCAGCCAAATCCCCTGCTCACAAAGTAGAAGTTTTGCTCACAAGAATCCACAGCTTAGAGGGAGCATGGCAGAGTCCCTTGCCGTAGTTTGACACTCTAACCGCCATACCACGCTGGCTCCTCCCCCATCCTGAATACGAAGGAACGTGGGGACAGTCATAGAATCACAGAATGTTAAGAGTTGGAAGGGACCTTGCAGGTCATCTAGTCCGACCCCCCGCACTCTGCAGGAGCAGAGCTGAAAGAGCCCTACAACATACCAGAAAACGTCCAGCGAAGGAGCATCCCCCACCTCCCAAGGCAGTCTGTTCTACTGCTCAACCCCTCTTAGAATCACAGAATGTTAGAGTGGGAAGGGACCTTGCAGGTCATCTAGTCCAACCCCCTGCACTCTGCAGGAGCACAGCCGAAAGAGAGCCCTACAACATACCCGAGAGATGGTCATCCAGCCTCCGCTTGGAAACGTCCAGTCGTGATTCCCCCCACCCCCCCCACGGTCATTCAGCCTGCCCAGTTTAGCATCAGGGCAGAAACGGAGACTCGGTGGTGGAGAGGGGAGGGCTCGGGAAAGCGCCCACATCCCGCGGGGCTGTGAAACTCACCCGCGCTCCCCCAGAGGGCTGGTGGATCATGATGCGCGAGTTGGGCAGGGAGTGGCGCATCCCCGGCGACCCTGCCGCCAGCAGCAGAGAGCCCATGCTGGCCGCCTGGCCCACGCACCACGTGCAGATGGGGTTGAGGATGTACTGCATCGTGTCGTAGATAGCCAGCCCGGACGTCACCGTTCCGCCTGCGGAGGAAGCAAAGGGATAGTAAGCCCTCCCGTGCTAAGGGGAAAATCCAGGAGACGTCCCCCTTCATCCGAGAGGAACCAAAAGGGGACGGAGATGCCCGGGGAGGGTCAACGGGGCCCCAAGACTCCTGCTGCAAGACCATTCTGCAATAAGGGGGTTAAGAACACCATCTTGATTTTATGAATTGGAGCAAGTAGTGGAACACCAATAGTTTATTAATTGTATTATGTTGTGCAATGTATTGTATTTTATATTGTTCTTATTGTTTTATTGGCATTCATGCCCTTGTTAGCCGCCCTGAGCCTTCGGGGAGGGCGGGATATAAATTTAAAGAACGAATGAATGAATAATGAATGAATGAATAAATAAATAAATAAAGTTGCTGTCACATGACCCTGGTTCGGTGACTTTCCTGAACCCCAGGAAGCAAGAAACTAGGAGAATGGATCTGGGAGATTAACTCTGTCTCTCTCTAGAGATGTGAAGGCCCGGAAAAAAACCGGAAAAATCCAGGGGGGAAGCTTTCCTCCCCTGTTTTTTTCCCTGAAGCCTTTTTTGTTTTTTTCCGAAAACTTGGAAAAACTGAAAAAAGAAAAGAAAAAAATTGATTATGGAACCTTTATTTTAACATGATGAATAAAATATTTTAAGACAAGGTGTTCAAATATTTTCCAAATCATTT